CCTTTTATAATAGAAAATAGGGCAGTGCATACAAAACATTGGGAATCTCTAGGTAAGTGTCTGTCAGTAGGCTATACAAGCACTACCAAGGCTATTTTACTGGTACTAACAAGAAGGAACGACACCTAACTGCACGGGATTATGAACTTTCACAAAGAACTCACAGGCCAACATAATAGCCACAAGCATACCCCCTAACCAGATTCACCAAAGTATTCACCCATTTTTCTCAAAATCAATACATTTTCAATGTTTAATATAAAATGATGCTCAATGCAAGATGTATGAGAAATTAGTTTTAATTTAACCTAATTCTCATGTAATTTCTACAACAATCGAAGTTATCCTCCACTAATAGCCCAAACAGATATTTCTACTTGATAGATAATTTCTAATCAAAATATATAATTCCATCATTTTAAAATGGGATTGATATTACATATCCGACTTCACCATCATCATCAACATAACATTGTTCCAATCTTACAAAACCCAGCATCTTTTCCTTTACTCCCATCAACCAAATAACAATGATTCTCAAACAAAATTTTCTTTGTTCTTTGTTCTTTAAAATCTCATTTACGAAGTAAGTTTCCAAAAATTCAACACAACCCAACAATATATACACTCTCACAACCTTTCTCAGGCATTTATTTGAAAAACCACTCTTTTACTTTTCAAAATCAAAACCTAGATTTAACCAAAAACCCCCAAATCACTAACTATTTTCAAAGAGCAAATAACTAAGCTAATAACCATATTAAGTCTTTGTTTGGGAAGAGCTAAAATAGCTTGACTTTTTAGCTTTTTAACTATTTTAGCCTGGCTTTTTTAGCCTCGTTTGGTTTCTGTTTTTGGATTTTTTGACATTTGTGAGAAAAAAATGTAATAATTATGGTTTGGATGTGACATTTTGTCTTATTGGCTTATGTAGCCAATTTTGTCTTTTGTGTTTTTTTAGCCAAAAAGCAAAAACTAAACATAGCTTAAGGGTTGAAGAAATTCCTTGCTCAAAGTAAAAGACAAGAGAGAGCAAAGGTAAAAACTTGGCGGAGCTAAAAACAGCAACTCCTTCGATTAAAACAAAGCTCTCAACGTGCTCTACCATTTTCTTAAAAGAACTAGGGTGAAGAAATCAAAGGATTGCGAGTATTTAGAGCTAGAATGTAAGAACTAGAGAGACCTTGCTCAAAGTAAAAGACAAGAGAGAGCAAAGGTAAAAACTTGGCGGAGCTAAAAACAGCAACTCCTTCGATTAAAACGAAGCTCTCAACGTGCTCTAATAGTGTGTGTGTGTGTGTGTGTATGTGTGTGTGAAGATTTAGGGTTTTTAGAGAGAGAAAAGTAAAAAATGACCGAAAATGCCTGTCCCTCAGACTAATATACGCACAAATTGCGCGAGCATGTGATAACCTGATTCCATAATATGCTTTCATTCTCTAATTATCCATGTGATTATGTGTTTGATATAAAATTGCATGCTTAGTTGTGTGAATGGTATGATTTTGAATTTTTATCATTTAAGTGTAGGAAAATCTATTGAAATTAGAGCTTTAAGCTGAAAATTGAAGGTCTTAGAGATGTCAGAAACCAAAACTAACTTGATATTTGTGATCAGCATGATTTTTAAGGCCTAATATGAAGTTTTGTAAAAATTTGATTTGTAATGAATTAAATGCATTTAATTAAGCTAAAAAGTTGAATTATGACTAATTAATATATGCTTTTAACTTAACTTAAGATAGATATAGATGAAGCCTTAGAGAACTTAGAGTTAGACTCAAAAATATCTTGTTGAGAGTTCTAGAGAGTGAGAGCAAGAAGAAAATAGAGAAGATCACGTCAAGGCTTGGAAGCTTGGGGATTTGAAGGAAAAATTCAGGGAATTAGCTCAAGGTAAGTTCAAAAATTAGCTCAAACTCTTCAAATATCTTTTCGCTTATTTAAAATGAAGTCTTGAAATGGACATTTCACACCTAAAAGAGTTAGGGTTTTGGAATTAAGAGCTTAATTGAATTATAGTTATGGAATGGACCTTGAATCCCTTGGATTTGTTTGATTGAAGAGTGTATATCTTTATCATTGCTTGTTTTGAGGTTACTTGTGAAAACTTGAACCCTAATCTTTAGCCTTTGCAAGATTTTAACTCAAGAATTATATACTTAATGAAAATGTAAGTGAATTTGAATGAAAATGAAGAAATTCATCAATTTGTGAAAGCTAGGGGTTTGATTTTGGAATTTAAGTAAGATCTGATTCAATTGAGTTTGAAATACACTTTAATCATGTATATATGTCATTTTTTTTTTTGAAATAGATTTGTATGAATTGGGACTTGAATATGAGTTTAAAAGCTTAAGGTTGAGACAATTTTCGGACTGCCCAGAAAAGCCCAGAACTGCATGTGTGAGGCTCACAACTGCGCGTGCGGAAAACAAGGCAAATCATAGCATCACTTTTGAAATAAATGCACATGTGGTAAAGGATTTCCGCACGTGCGGAAAACAGGGTGAAAAATCATCAATCTCTGCTAACGTATCCGACCCTCTGAAATTGTGTGCAAGCATGTTTAGACCCTCTAGAATGTTGATAAACAAAAAAATAAATGAATCGTAAATGAGTAAATAAAGGAAAAGACTAAGAATGAATGAATTTTTTACCGAATTTGTATCTATGTTATGATGTGTAGGTCGCCTGCCGGAAGGACCATCGCAAGGCCAATATCACTGTGAGTAATAGTATTGTAAATATATGTTTTAAAGTACTTATTCTCCTCCTTAACGGATATGCCATCTGTAACTTGTCTTTTGCTCAAAATGAATGAGTTTCATGAATGTGATATGATATATGCAATGTGGACCCAAGGTCATTCTACTATACTATGATATGTTTGGGCCCGAGGCCGTTTTGTTTTGATATGATTTGCTTGGACCTAAGGTCGTTCTGATCAGCTGATAATGTAATTGGCCTGAGGCCATTCTAATATTGTAATAGGCCTGAGGTCATTCTATTTAATGGGCCTGAGGCCGTTCTGTATGATGTTGGGGTCGAGGCCCTTCTGCAATGTGAATACAGATATTGTATGAAAGCTATATTTTGGAAAGATCTACTTCAATTACTATAGTCTTGTAAAGCTTATGCTTATTCATTCAAATCTCTTTACTTTAGTATTACTCATTGAGCTTTGCTCACTCCGTATATATGTATGTATATATAGGTAACCAGCAGCATGGAGACCAACCGTAGGGTCTGCACTAGGAGTTATTTTTTTAACCGATTGGTCAAGTCTCCAAGATGGAGCCTCTGTCTTTTGTCTTTTGACTCACTTTTGATATGATTTTTGTGTTAGCTTTGCTATGATGGTCTTGGCTTATGTAAATTATATGTACAAGGAACTTCTTTCATACATAAAGTTTTGCATGGACATGTAAATATGTGTGATGCTGTAGACACCCCATTTTTGACCGTCCTCAAGACTTGGGCGTCACCATTTGAACACCCGCTGATCATCCATGCTTGTGTTCGTTTGGAGTTCCCGGAGGTCTCGGCTATGCGCCTTGCCTCAGGATCTCCAAACTTGACTATTTTGTGCTTGGTTCGACACCAAACTCTTGTGTTTTGCCTTTGAGGGGCAGGGTAGGGCTTGTAGACCACCCTCACCCATCACCGGCCGTGGCCTGAGGCCACCGGCCGTGGCCTGAGGCCACCGGCTGTGTTTTGTGGCCGGCCGGCACTATAGATAGCCGGTCGGCTATCTTTTTTTGGTCGATGGCAATTTTGGGCAGCCGACTACTGTTCATCTACTTTATGTAGGTATTTTGTGCCAGCTGTGATAGCTGGCACTCACTCTGTTTCCCTCCATACACGTGTATGGAGGGATCTCCCTCTAAGCAAGCTTGTTGTATAAGCCTTGCAAGAGGGACTTCTATAAGAGGAGAGGTCTTCTCCTTGTTCTAGGTTAGAAAGTTAAAGGCAAAACCAGAGCTTATACATATAGATACACCCCCTCTCTATATTTCCCTCTCTCTCCTCCCTTTTGTGTGTTTCATGGCCTAAAAGTGCACTTTTACCTTACTTTTGCACTAATACACACACTATTACACCTTGCTCCGAGATTGAGAGGCTTTGAGGGTTGATTCTTGAGTTTTTGGACTGTTTTTGATCAAAAGAACAGGGTTGCATTGGCTGTTCTTGAGGTGTGTTTCAAGGGTAAGCACTTTGCTTTAGTTTCCCCAAACGTGCACTAGTTTTTTACCTATCTTACTTGCTGATTTAGTTTTTGTGCATAACATAAAAAAGGCTTATATTTTCATGCTTAAGAACTTTCATTAAGGGTCTTTTGTGGTTTGAGTTCAAACTCACCCTCTTAGGCCTTATTTGGCCTTTTTGGTGCTTCTTTGTTAAGGCCTTATTTGCTTAAGTGTTTTGGTCTTCTCACCACTGAAAACCAGTGGATTTTCAGTGGTGAGGAAAGTGGTTTAAAGTCTTGTATAGGGGAGGGACACCCCTCTCCCTTCATTGCCTCATTTCCTTGCCTTTTGGCTTAAAGGCCAACATGTATACTTGATTGTTTTTGGCCCTATTTCAGAACTTTTTGGGTGTCCTTAGGTCACATATGATCTCTGTTTTTGGTCGGATTTGTACCCCTTTGCATGCTTAACATACTTGCTTTACATTCCTCTATTTGGCCTAGAAATGCATCTTGTGTTTAGGTCATGGTTCTTGCATGTATTGGCTTAATCTCATGAAGGTATTGGCATCATTTCATCATGTTCAAGGTCTATTGGCCATTTGTTTCAGTCATGCTTGCCATGTTTGGTGTCCTCTCTTTGTGTTTTGGCTTGTAAGCCTTGAGTATATTGGCCTCTAGCATGCATAGCTTAGACCATCCTCATGATTTGCCATCATTTAGGGTCACATTTCAGCCCATAAATCATGTTTGTATGTTTGCATATGTGACCTCTTTCATGCTTTGAGGATATCCCCTTTTATGCCTAGAAATGAACCTTGAGATAACTGGTCATTATCATGAATCAGTTGCGGATCTTGTTAGTTTGGTTAGTATGAAGATCACAATATCTACTCTTCTGAGATTTCTACTTTTTTTTGTCAGCAATCTTTTATCTTAGACAGTCTTGATTTAAAAGCTTTCAAACATGTTGACCAGGCAAAGAAAACGGACTCTTCACTTCAGAGAATTCGTCAGGGTGCACAAAGGCGAGGTGGAGCAAGCTCTGATGTCTCTGAAAATAATGTGTCCAATACTGATAAGATCTGTATGCAATTATTTCTTGATATTCAGGTTAGCCTCATCCTCGTACAAATCTTAGTGTGTGGCTGTGTGTGGATGCACATTCCTGTTCGTGTTTGTGTTCAAGTCTTGGAGTCATCAATGGGTGGTTGATTGGAAGATTTTTCACAGTTGTGATTTTATTTTCTGCTTTTTTTTTTAAAAATTTTTATTTTATTTTATTTTCAAGACTGTTGTGATTATATTTTGGCTATTCGTTTTATTGAACAGGAATATGGGCGCAACCTCTCTGCGCTTGGGGTTGAAGCGGCAAAAATTCCTGCATACCGTTCCTTGTGGCAGTGCGTTGCCCCAACAGACAGTCAAAATACAATTAGTTTCTAGTTTTTGGCTTTCAGCATACCACCACCAAGGATGCATTTGGCTGCTGTTTACCTTGCGCAATGGGGGAAAGAAGGCATTTTGGCAGCGGCCAGCAAGTGGGCATAGTAACATAGAAATACCATTTTTTATTTTTTTCGCTCAATTTTTATTCTATTGTAGGTGTTTTTTTTGTTGTGTAACAGTTTTTTTATTTTTTTATTTTATTTTTATTTTCAGTAGTTGCATGTTGAGATACGTGCTTTTCCAGTAGCTCATCTTACAGGGTGAAATACAGAGTTCTGTATATTTTAGATAATTCTTAGTTGGTTGCGAATAATAATAAAAATGAGAATAGTTAAGCATTCTTTCAACAAACCTTCATGGATAGAATATTATTCAGGTTTTGATTGATTTTTTTAAAATTAAAATTTTTATTTTTTAATATTTTAAGTAAATTTTTTACTTTTTATTTTGAACGATAAATTTTTTACTTTCTAAATGTACATAATCTAAATATATTTAAAAAGTAAAATATTTGTAAAAAAATATTTAAAAATTCAATATATGCAAAAAAAATATGAAAATGTATTGAATTTTAAAATATTTTTTCATAGATGTTATATTTTTAAGTGTAGTTAGGTTAGGTGTATTTAAAAAATTAATTTTTTCTTAAAATATTAAATTTTTTTTATTAAAAATAAAAAATAAAAAATAAAAAATAAAAAATAAAAAATAAAAAATAAAAAATAAAAAATAAAAAATAAAAAATAAAAAATAAAAAATAAAAAATAAAAAATAAAAAATAAAAAATAAAAAATAAAAAATAAAAAATAAAAAATAAAAAATAAAAAATAAAAAATAAAAAATAAAAAATAAAAAATAAAAAATAAAAAATAAAAAATAAAAAATAAAAAATAAAAAATAAAAAATAAAAAATAAAAAATAAAAAATAAAAAATAAAAAATAAAAAATAAAAAATAAAAAATAAAAAATAAAAAATAAAAAATAAAAAATAAAAAATAAAAAATAAAAAATAAAAAATAAAAAATAAAAAATAAAAAATAAAAAATAAAAAATAAAAAATAAAAAATAAAAAATAAAAAATAAAAAATAAAAAATAAAAAATAAAAAATAAAAAATAAAAAATAAAAAATAAAAAATAAAAAATAAAAAATAAAAAATAAAAAATAAAAAATAAAAAATAAAAAATAAAAAATAAAAAATAAAAAATAAAAAATAAAAAATAAAAAATAAAAAATAAAAAATAAAAAATAAAAAATAAAAAATAAAAAATAAAAAATAAAAAATAAAAAATAAAAAATAAAAAATAAAAAATAAAAAATAAAAAATAAAAAATAAAAAATAAAAAATAAAAAATAAAAAATAAAAAATAAAAAATAAAAAATAAAAAATAAAAAATAAAAAATAAAAAATAAAAAATAAAAAATAAAAAATAAAAAATAAAAAATAAAAAATAAAAAATAAAAAATAAAAAATAAAAAATAAAAAATAAAAAATAAAAAATAAAAAATAAAAAATAAAAAATAAAAAATAAAAAATAAAAAATAAAAAATAAAAAATAAAAAATTCAATTTTTTTGAAACCAAATGATTACTTTGCAGCAGAGCCGTTAATGAGATATTGCTTTCATCTATTCTCACTAAAATTATTTTATATTATTATTATTGTTATTATTATGCAATTTTTGTACAAATTATTACGGCTGAGCAGAAAAATTAAAAAAAATATATAAAACGTGTTTGATCTAAATTAAATTGCACGGTTTTTACGGCTGAGCAGAAAAATTAAAAAAAAAATATAAAACGTGTTTGATCTAAATTAAATTGCACGGTT